AGCTGAAGTATTGCTGTGGCTCAGGTGGTAGAACATGGCTTTGCCTTGAGCAAAAGCAGCTCAGGGACAGTGCCCAGGCCCTGAGTTCAAGCCCCAGGACTGGCACACACACACACACACACACACACACACACACACAATTGCATTTTGTATGGAAAGATGGAAAGAGCTTTGGTTGTGGGTCAGAACCCTGGATTGGAATTCTAGTTCTGCCACTGACCAACTGAAAAAGTTTGAGGTAAATTACTTTCTTGCTCTGTGCCTCAAGTTCCCTCCTGATAAATGGGCTACTAAAGCTTAGCCTAGCAAGGTGAGAGAAGGCTGAGAGCTGATTCTATTAGGTCTGCACACAGTGTCTGAGACAATTGTGTAAGTGTAAAGGATTTTACTTGGCCACTGCCAGCCACGGCTGCTTCTGTACACAGTGAGACAGTTCAGAAGGCTGTAGCATTGTTCCACAGAGGCACACCACTTCCTGTTTATACAGACCAGACAGATGCATGGCTTGAACTGTGGGCTTGGGGGACTTCCTAGGGCCTTGATATGGCCACATTGAGAAGGGAACCTTTTCTATTTAACAGGTTTTCTCTGTACTCCAACTCAGTAACTTGTGCATAGAATTTGTAAGCAATGATTAACCATACTAGACAATAGTTTGGGCTAAGGGTAGATCCTGTCCTTACAGGACACAATCTAATTTGTGTGTGTACGTGTGCATGTGCATGTGCGCACACATGTACATGCATATACCAGGCCTGGGGCTTGACTTCAGAGCCTGGGAGCTGTTCCTGAGATTTTCCATTCAAGGTTAGCACTCTACTTCTAGAGCTACAGGTCCATTTCTAGTTTTGTTTTTGTTTTTTTTTTAAGATTAATTGGAGATAAGAGTCTCACAAACTGCAGTCTTCAGATCTCAGCCTCCTGAGTAGCTAGGATTACAGGCATTAACCACAGATGCCAGGCTAGACATAATCCAATTTCTTTTCTTTTTTTTTTTTGGTTGGTCGTGGGGCTTGAACACTGTCCCTAAACTCTTCAGCTCAAGGCAAGTGCTCTACCACTTGAGAGACAGCCCTACTTCTTATTTTCTGGTGGTTAATTGGAAGTAAAAGTCTCATGGAGTTAGTTTGCCCAGGCTGATTGAATCATGATCCTCAGATCTCAGTCTCCTGAGTAGCTAGGATTATAGCATGAGCCACTAGCACCTAGCTTCACAATCCAATTTCTAACCAATGGGCAAACCTTATGTACTGGGCTCTATAATAACGTGTAGGGTATGTGGAACACGACTGTGTACATTTACAGAATTCCTACCATACTCAAGATATTGTCATCATAAAGATAATCACTGAGGACCTACTCTGCATTTAACTTTGCCCCCCTGGGTCATTAGGCTTGAACTCAGGGACTAGGTGCCATCCCTGAGCTTCTTCTGCTCAAGGCTAGTGCTCTACCACTTTGAGCCACAGAACCACTTCCGGTTTTCTGGTGCTTAATTGGTGATAAGAGTCTCACATCATAGCCTTTCCTTCTCAGGTTAGCTTTGAACCACAATCCTCAGATCTCAGCCTCTTAAGTAGCTAGGATTACAGGCATGAGCCTCTGGCACCCAGCTTGCATATAACTCCTGGAAGCCAAGTTTTCCTCTTCTTCCTCTTGGAATCCACTAATAGCTATTAAGAAACTACTCTTTAGATGGAAGGGGAATTGGCTGAGAGTCATAGTCCCAATTTAGAATCCCAGCTCTGCTAATAACTAATAATAATGATCATTTATTTCCACAAATACTTCTTTTAGTCTCTCTAGATCTTTTTATTTTAAAATTAGTTTTATTATCTAATTTTTATGCTGGTACTATGGCCTTATACTCTTGCTTAGCTTTTTACCTCAAGACTTGGCCCTCTACCACTTGAGCCATAGCTTCACTTCCAGATTTTTCTGTGATTAATTGGAGATGAGTTTTAGAACTTTTCTGCTTAGGCTGGCTTTGAACTGGGATCCGTAGATCTCAGCCTCTTGACCAGCTAGGATTATAGATGTGAGCCACCAATGCCAGGTCATGACAACCAGTTTTTTGAAGATGATGTTCTGGACGCTTCTCTATGATTATTACACCTGACCTCGCTGTGCCTGTTTCCTCCACTGTAAAATCATGACAGCAGGACTTGCCTTAAAGAGTCAAGTCAGAGCCAGCTGTTCCTGACCCACACCTATAATTCCAGCTAGTCAGGAGTCTGAGATATGAGACTTTCCATTCAAAACCAGCCTGGGAAGAAAATCCATGGGACTCATCTCCAATTAACCAGGAAAAAGTCAGAAGTAGAGGTATGGCTCACATGATAGAATGCCAGCCTTGAATGAAAAAGCCAAGCAACAGCAAAGGGCAAGGGGGACAGGCAAAGACCTGTATGTGCTGGCTGCTGAGCTCTAGACCCATGAAGAGTCTCCCTTGGCTTCTGAGTTGGAGCAGCAGTGGGGTGAATTCAATGAATCAGGAGTTTTAGTGGCCCTTTTCCTCCTTCTGCCCGAGTTACCCTATAGCAGAGTTACTCAAGTCTGTCACTTTCTCTTCTTGGCACCAGGACCAGGCCACAATACCCTGGGCCTCCAGGTTCTACATTATCTCAAGGTCAGCTGTGTTCCACACTGCCAAGGAGACAGGACAGCTCCAATAGCAGGGACTGTATGTCAAGTCCCTAATCACACATTTCACAGCCCTTGAGGCCTGCCACAGTCCCTGGGCATCTTGGGAAGGTAGCTGGTAGGCAGGAGCCAGAGTGGAGCATGCTCAGTTCTCAGCTAGGGAGGCTCCAGACCTAGTCTGGGACTTCAGAATACAAGGATCATCAAAGTTATTACACCTGTGCTAGAGAGGGAAAAACAGAGGCTGAAAATGGCAACAATGCATCCAAGGCCTCAGAGCAAGCCAGTGTCAGAGCTAAGCTGGAATTCTGGTCAGCAGAGTTCCTCAACTAGCAGGACTGTGGGTAGTAGAGTATCTTTGGGGTCTAATTTCCTAGCACTTTGATCTGTTTTGTTTCTGAATCCTCAGTGGCCCAGGGAATATTTTCCCAGACATTTGCAGTAAGAAACTCAAGGATGGGGCTGGGAAGGTGGCTCAGTGGTAGAGCACTTGCCTTGCATGCATGAGGCCCTGGGTTCGATTCCTCAGCACCACATAAACAAAAAGAAAAAAGCCAGAAGTGGCATTGTGGTTCAAGTGGTAGAGTGCTAGCCTTGAGCTGAAGAGCTGAGGGACAGTGCCCAGGCCCAGAGTTCAGGCCCCACAACCAGACCAAAAAAAAAAACAACTCAAGGAAGTGGGATATGGGAACCACCTCTTTGTGACCTTTCAAATCTCATCAGGCTCAGAGACCTTCTGTCTTCACAGAGCCCCAGGAAAGACTATCCCCAAACTGGCAACCATTTGCATTAACCCATCACTGCATTATCTGAAGGCCAGCGCCATTCCACAGTTGCCATCCAGGAACTCTTTGTGCCTATTCTAGGCCCTGAACAGATATTTTTTCCCCCACCAATCCCAGGGCTTGAACTCAGGGCCTGGGATCTGTCCCTGAGCTTCTTTTGCTCAAGGCTAACACTCTACCACTTGAGCCACAGTGTCATTTCAGGTGTTTTCTGTTTATGTGGTATTGAGGAATTGAATCCATGGCTTCAGGCATGCTAGGCAAGCACTCTGCCACTAAGCTACCAGCTTTTTGCTGGTTAATTGGAGATAAGAATCTCATTGACTTTCCCTTCAGGCTGGCTTCAAACCATGATTCTCAGATCTCAGCCTCCTGAGTTGCTGGAATTACAAATATGAACCACTGGTGCCTTCCTAAAACCACATCTTTAGAAGAGTGGTACTGTAGAGCCAATGGTGGCACAAGCCTGTAATCTCATCCATCACTCAGGCAGGAAGACCTTAAGTTTGAGGCAAGCCTGGGCTACTCAGTAATACTACCTCAAAAAAAAAGTAGAGCAGTTTCTGATGTGTAATAAGAGCTGTATGAGTGCTTTCACTACTTTGTTGTTGCTATTATTATTTTATTACATTTCTGTTCACATGATATAGTATCAAAATCAGCCATCCTAAAAAAGGAGGCTGTATGGGCAGAAATTAGAAATGAACAACCAGTCTGTTTCTTCATATGGGAAACTGAGACTGATAGTTTAATAATAATAATAATATTTTTAAAATACTTTTGTTCAACCCACAGAGTGTCAGGATAATTTCAATTTTGTTGCTGACACAGGAAATGTCAAGAGTCTAGAGCCAGGGTAGTGGATCTGTAGCTCAAGTGGTAGAGCACCAGCCTTGAGCCAAGGGGGAAAAAAGCCAAGTGAGAGCATAAGGCCCTGAGTATAAGCACAAAAAGAACTAAATAAACTGGGCTCCAGTGGCTCACGCCTATAATCCTAGCTACTCAGGAAGCTGAGATCATGGTTCAAAAATCAGCCAAGACAGAAAAGTCCACAGACTCTTATCTCTAATAAACTACTCAGAAAAAGCCAGAAGTGGCACTGTGGCCAAGTAGTAGAGTGCTAGCCTTGAGCACAAAGAGGCTCAAGGATAATGCCCCAGGACTGGCAAAATTAAATAAAAATAAATAAATAAGCAATATTTCAGAGCTGGATATCATTGCACATACGTGTCAGTCTAGTGAAGGATTCAAGTTCAGAATTCAAGGCCAACCTGGGCAACTCCACTTCATTAAAAAAAAAAATCAGACCCCTGGCTCATGTTACAAAGGCAGGAGAGCATTTGAAAGCCAAGGCAAGACTTGTTCCTTTAGCCCCTGTGCCCATCCCTCCCTGCTACCACCCAGCCCACATCACTCCCTCAGTTCTCACCAGAGGCCCTTGATTCTGAATTCCCCTATTTCATGACCATTGTCCCCATCAGAGCCTCAGAAGAAACATCTGCCACAGACAAATTTATTTTCCATGCTGCAGCCAGATGGACATGTGCCCATTGCATAAGCCAGGTGTCTGTGTCACCACCAGTTAGGAGGTTTGGAGATGGGTTCTGAGGCATTGATGCCAGAGCGCATGGCTTCCCACAACTTGGGCAGACGACTCAAGTTAAGGAACCCATTGCTAAACAGAGGGAGCTCTGGCAGCTTGACCTCTGACCTCTGTGACATACCCCCAGGGCGGAGGGATGGGTGCTGACTGCCCACACCAGTGGAATCGCCCAGGAACTGGAGTGTAGTGTTTTCCCTGGCAGAGGGCACCAGGGAGGTGTTACTCGGGGAGTGGTCAGGGCCCAGGCCAGCACTGTGGCTGGTGTAGCTGGGGGGCGAGGAGTTTTCCAGGTTGTCCAGGTAGAGGGAGTTGGCAGCTCGTTCCAGGTAGGTGGCTGCAAGCTTGGGCAAGTTCAGTGCTTGGGCTGATTGGTTGTTGGAGAAGATGCCTGTGGATCGGTCCAGATAGTTGATGCCTTTGATAAGCTGCTCCAGTAAGGAAGGGCTGGAGGGACAAGATGGGCCATCTGTACACAGTACACGAGAGCCATTTTGATGACAAGAGGGCCTCCTGGCCACCGTGGGGACCTTTGCAAGCTGACTTGTGTCCACGCCCTTGGATTCTGTGCTTTTCCCCGAGGGCATCCTGGAGGACGTGGGGTACCACTCTGAGTGACTACGGAACTCCGAGTCACTCGAGACGCGGGTCTGTGGACTCTTGTGGGTGTTTAAGCTGAGGTTTGGGCCCCAGCCTGGAACTCTGGGCGCAAAAGATGCAGAGCGGGGATGGTGCACACAATGCTCGTTAGAATTGGAGCTGTTCATCTGGCGTCTGGACATGGTTCTGGATGGGCTGAACAAGCCTGTGGTTGAGATGGGATAGTGTCTGCAGCTTGCTCACCCAGGCCTGGGGAGGAGAAAGGTGGATAGGCTCATCTGAGTTTCTTGCTAACTCCCCCCAGAGACTTTAGTGCTACCCCAACTCCCCTCTCCTCCAGCTAGGTCTAAGGACTCTTAAGTTAGAAACCAATACCCTTAATAGTTTGTTTGTTTTTGGTGCTGGCACTGGGGCTTGACCTCAGGGCAAGGGTGCTTATCCTTAGCTTTTTCCACTTAATTGGTGCTCTACCACTTGAGCCATAACTGTATATCTGGCTTTTGGCAGCTTCCTTGAAAATAAAGAGTTTCACAGGCTTTTCTTCCCAGACTGGCTTTGAACCATGATCCTCAGATCTCAGCCCTCTGAAGAGCTAGGATTACAGGTGTGAGCTGCTGGTGCCAGGCTCCAATACCCTCTTCTTCATAAAGCACATAAGAAGAGAAAGATAAAGAATGAGAATGTTGAAGACTTGAGGTCCCCCTAGAAAAAGGGGGTGGGGCAGCAGCTTGTTTTTCTTCAAGTTCTAGATCATATTCTGAAAACCTCATTTATCTTTGAAGCAGGGACTCCAGGAAACAACAAAGGCCAGATAGATCTCATGGTAAAAGGACTAAAGCAGACTGGACAAACAGTGAAAGGCCACTGTGCAGGCATCCTGGCCTCCACGTAATCCTGCAGGCACTGCCATTGTGGGCCCGTGCTCATAGGAATCCACTCATTGAATTCCCACTGCAAACCAAGGAGGCATTCTATTACTCCCAGTTGACAGATGGGGGAAACTGAGGCTCAAGAGAGATGTTGTGACTAGCTGAGTCACAACAGTGACTTGTATGCATGTCAGAGTAGTATCCAATGACTCCTGATTCTGTTACGCTGCCAGCTAACTTTGTGCCCTACAATCCACTAAGGAAGAATTCTCACTGAACTTTTCCTGCCTTCCTTGATTGGAGCACTGGTGGTTCTCCGGATGGAGACTAGCTAACCCTGTAACTGAGTTGATCTGACTTCAAGAATCCTAAATGAAAGCTGGATGTTGGAGACCCACTCCTGTCATCTTAGCTACCCAGGAGCCTGAGGATTAAAGCCTGCTCAAAAGTGCTTGAGACTCTTTTTTTTTTTTTTGTTGGTCGTGGGGCTTGAACTCTGGGCCTGGGCGCTGTCCCTCAGCTCTTCAGCTCAAGGCGAGTGCTCTACCACTTGAACCACAATGCCACTTCTGGCTTTTTTCTTTTTGTTTATGTGGTGCTGAGGAATCGAACTCAGGGCCTTATGCATGCAAGGCAAGCACTCTACCACTGAGCCACCTTCCCAGCCCTCCCTGAGCTTTTTTACTCAAGGCTAGCACTCTACCTTTTAAGCCATAGCTCCACTTTCAGCTTTTTTGGCAGTTAATTGGAGATAAGAGGCTCACAGACTTCTGCCTGTGCTGGCTTCAAACCACAATCTTCAGATCTCAGCTTCCTGAGTAGCTAGGATTACAGGTGTGAGCCACTGGTACCTAGCTCTTTCAAGCTTTTTTTTGTTCAAGGTTGGCACTATGCCACTTGGGCCATACCTTCACGTCTGACTTTTTGATGGTTAATGGGAGAGAAGACTTTGGTGAACTTTTCTCCCCAGGCTGGCTTCAAACCTCTATCTTCAGACCTCAGCCTCCTGAGCAGCTGGGATTACAGGTGTGAACCACCACTGCCTGGCTCCACCTGTCTTTGTTTTAGGATAGTACCCTCCAATTTGGGTTTACCTGATGTTTCCTAATGACCAGTGCAGGATGACAGCTCCCCCCCCCCCCATATAAGGGGCCCTTCCAGCCCTTCCAGTTGAAGCCCTCTGCAATCATTGAGAGTCAAGGGCGTGGAGGTGTCACAGTGGCTGGGCGGGGAGAGGAGAGAAAGGATGGAAGGGCTCTCCCTGGGAGACAGAACAGCATACTGAGTGAACAAGAAAGGTGGTATTCACAGCCAGGGCCTGGTTCAGCTCTGGGCTGGGGGCCGTGCAGGCAGGCAGGCAGGCAGGCAGGCAGCCAGTCAGAGGGTTGGGCCTCTGGGCTGTTTGTCCTGACAGTACCCAGGCATCGAGATCACTAGCCATTTCTGGCCTGGGCACTAAGAGCTACTGGAAATAGCTCCAGAACAATTATTTCGGGAGGAATGTGCTATTTCTCCATCTTCCCAGAAAGCCAAGCGGTGTCCCAATAAGTCATGAAAGTCTCTCTCTTGCCTTTGCACTCCAGGCCCTTCCCCCAGGCCCATTGGGGTCCAGCTGACTCTCAGTGTGGGGCCACAGGAGGGGTGGGATATGAAGAAGCGATCTGTTCATCCTCATGGCCTGGCTTCCCCTGAGAAGCTGACACAGATAGACCACCTACAGTGTGCCCGAACCTGCCTGATAGCATGGGTGCCCGGTTCTTCCTATCCACCCTTTCATTTAATCCTCATCTCCCCCCTTAGAGGTGGATCTTGTATTTTCTTCATTTCCTTCCTTCCTTCCTTCCTTCCTTCCTTCCTTCCTTCCTTCCTTCCTTCCTTCCTTCCTTCCTTCCTTCCTTCCTTCCT